TGGGCTGGGCCGGCCTGCGGGGTCAGGTCCCGGGGGCGGGCCGGGCAGAGCTGAGGCCCGCGGGCGGGACCTAGGGGGCCGGGCGGCCCGGGCTGCAGGCCGCGCCTGGCGCCTCTTGGTCCAGCACAGGCCGGCCGGACTTAGGTCAGAGACGGACTGAGGTTGGGCGGCTTCCCACACAAGCCGGGTGTGCGCCCGCCGTGCGCCGGAGCGTTCTGCCCGCTGCCTGCCAGGACCGGGAAGGGTGATGGCGACTCTTCCGGAGCAGACCGCGGCGCACGCTGCCCTCTCCGTGCTCTGGGCGGGAGGTGCAGAGCAGGGGTTGGGGGCCAGCCGGTGGCCGAGGACCTTTTCACACCAGCAGAGGGTGGGCTTCCTGGATCCCGGGCCCCGGTGGGGCAGGTGCTTAACGGCCCGCCAGACCCCCGCGTTTCACAGCGTGCTTCAGCGGGGCTTCGCGGCGTTCTCATGGCGCTGTGACCTGCCGGCTTCTGCCAGCCGGTCCAAAGCCCTCCTGACCGGCTTTGTCTCTCCTAGCGCTGCAGAAGGATCTGGACACCAAACTCTTTGGACAGCATCTTGTAAAGAAAGTCATCTTGAATGCGGTGTCAGGTTTCCTAAGCAACCCGAAGCCCAAGAAACCTCTCACTCTCTCCCTGCACGGGTGGACGGGCACTGGCAAAAATTTTGTCAGCAAGATCATCGCGGAGAACATCTACGAGGGTGGTCTAAACAGTGACTATGTCCACTTGTTCGTGGCCACTCTGCACTTCCCGCATGCCTCCAACATCACGCTGTACAAGGCAAGGGCCCAGTTTTGAGTCCTTCCTGGATGGCGGGGATGTGGGGTTTCTTTCTTGTGGGGTGGGATCTGGGAATTCCATGTTGAAATGAGCGAGTCCTGAAATGACTCCCTGTCAGTTCTTTGAAAGTTATGGAAATACGGAGTTGGAGATTTGGAGATGCTCAAAGCAAGGACTCCATCTAAGCTTCGATATGGTTTCTGAAAACAGGCTCAGTGGTACTCAGTGTGGGGACTAGGGTCATAGATGTTAGAGATGGTGTGATGACATCGAAGTTAAAGACCATCACCTCATTTTTACAGAGGCCTAAGTCTGCTTATTTGACTGATGCAAAGTACTTTCCACAGTAACTTGCTGGATTAGCAGCTTGGGCTTTGGTCACAGACACGCTTGGATTTGAGTCCTGACTCTCCCACCTACCAGCTAGATTGTCTCAGGAAGGCTGCATGACCTCACTGAGACTTGGTCTTCATTACAGAAAGATGTTTTGCGAATTCAGCAAGCTCTGTCAAGTATGTAACACAGTGCCTGGTACGTGAGCATTCAAATGAATGTTAACCCTTGTCCCAGCCACTGTGGCGCAGCGGTAAAGCTAGCGCCTGCAAGGCTGGAGGCCACATGGTGACTGTGGGTTCAGATCCCCGGGTGGTCCTGGAAACAGGCTGGTGGTGCAGAGCTGGAGGACTGGGAAAATGCGATCATGTATGACCAGACCCTGTTGAGGGGGTCTCTCTCTCTCTC